TTTAGGGTTTGGGGTTTGGGGGTGTTTAGTCAGGTTTTGTGGAGGCTTCGATGTGATGATGCTCTACAATCCTCAGCAACACACGGACCCAGAACCAACTCTTATCAGAGCCGACTGCGGAGACTGCAGGCTACAATGCGCAGAAAGCAGAGTCGGACATGGTCTACACCTTCGAGCTCGAATCTCACTTCTCTTGTTTCGTAGCGTTCGCACTTGCGAACTATTTTGGTAGCTGTGGGGGTTAGGTCACCACCAGCACGGTGTGCATCAAGTATTCGGAGCCGCGAATTACTTTGTGATCTGGAGTCACCAAGTGCAGAGTTGTTGTTTGCCCGTCAACGTGGTCGCTAAATATGCTTGAAAACTTGAGGCTAGCGGCTCGACTTTGCAGCCTCAAATTCGGATTCAGAGCCAGTTGAGTGTTCCAGGAGTTGACTCGGAGGCTTCAGCTTATACCGTCGCTGAGACCAGGTATCGTCCCAGCGGGCGGGAGCTGCCGATTCAGGAGATCAAGTCCTCCGGATGCATGCAGCAAGAAACGCGTGTATGGCAGGCTTACAGTGCGGTGTCACGATTTCTGGCAGTTTCCGATATCATCTTTGGCGTTCACCCCCGAACGAGGCGGAAGGAAAAGAGGTGTCAACAAAAAGAGAAGCCTTTCCACGACAATCTGCAGTTATCAGTGCCGGATTCGGCCAAGCAGAAGTCGATCCACGGCCTTGTGTGGGAAACCACAATACCGGGCCTCGATAAGCACTTATCGATGATTGGCTATAGGGCTGCAGCCAGCTGCACTGCTTATGTTAGTGCGGTCTTACAGTCGTAGGTCCCAGGTCGTCTCGAAACACGGGGAGCTGCAGCACAACGTTCGCTGTCAACCGGAGCTGTTTGCCAAGGTTTCCGCCGACTTTCCAGACGATCATGGGACGCTCTGCTGCATAGTTTATCAGTTTATCAGGTCGACGCCCCAAAAATATAGCCGCATCACCAATCACCAAGACTGAATGTCACGTGGTTGAGTGCCACGCGCCCCCACCCCGCGCCGAGAGCAATCGCTGATAGACAGGGCTGCACCGCGCGTTACACTTTCTCCCCGTCCTCAGGATGTAATGACGGTCCCTTCAAAAACCTCGATCCAGTCTCCGCCAAACATTTGGCGAGGCGGGCGGGCCGGCGGGTGCATGTTAACTTTCAATTTGCATGCTCACTTCCAGTCTTGGTCTTTTCCCCCCCACTTTCGGAGGCAACTGCACGAGCGCTTCATCAAGGAGGTCTCTGGAATTCACGTTGGCTGAGGGCTAGGACTAGGATTCTCGGTTGCCTGTTGTTGTGCTTGGTCGTAGGGCTGTTCAGGGGTTCTGCAAACCGACTGGGCTTTAACTGTTACTACACGACGCTGGGATGGAGTGCGAGGCGAAATTGTGCGAGCCGGAGCAAAATTGGTTCTCCAGTCACATCCGGTAGATTTGCAGGCACGGCTTTTCGTGCAGCCGCTGGTGTTCAGGAAGTGCAAGTCAGCTACCAGTACACCCCAACTCTTGGGTTTCGTCTAGCAGTCGCGGAACCGTGCGTGCTCCGTGCACTTCCACCATTGTTCGAAGCCTTGAAAGGTGCGATTCTGCTTCGACCGCTGTAGGTGCATTCCTGCATTCCAGGTCTGTCCTGTTGTCGGCTCAAGGGCAGTGGAACAGCTTTGGGAGGGTAGAGAGCACGAAGAGGATTCCTGCAGCCATGGCGGACCAACTGCCTCGAACTAAGACAGATCCCGAAAGGGCAGTGCTGCACAGAATCTCAAGCCCTGAAGTCGCGGTGTCCAGCATTTCGGCATGAACTCTTCGGCGCAATGCTTGTAGAACAGTCGAAGGCCGTTCCGTCTCACGCATGTTGGGCATGTGCAGCACCACAAGGACGGAAGAGCAGATCGAGGAGTTTCGTGAGGCATTTGTTCTCTTTGCAACTCAGCGAGAAGCCCGCCCGGTTCCACAGAACAGAAGTTGCAGATTCACGGCCTGGGGAAGCGTTCTTCTTCAATTGAAAGTACGTCTCATGTTCGCAGCGCGAGTTCTTGGGAGTTATCACAGCCTCCCCCTGAAATTTCACGTAGCTGCAATGTCAACTTCAAAGTACACGTCATGAACAGCTGTGCCGAATGCAGTGCAAGCCAGGGACACTGTTTGCAAATGGAGATTGGCTACATGGTACTGGTATTGCCCTATCGGTGTTTCACATAATGATCATAATGGCAAGCTGCAGATCAGCCCGCCCAAAACCTTGAGGCAACGGGGACCAGATTGCAACACCTCGGGAAGCCTTCAGCTGAGGCAGGCGATCGAAGCCCTGAGGAGGAGGCCGAGCTACTGGAGTGGAAGGAGCGCAGAGAGAGTTTCACTCCTAGCTTTTCTCTGGGGCTGTTGCTTCGAAGTTCCTGAGCTGTCGACAAACCACTCACATTGCGAAGAACAGTCAGGAGAGCTGCGCGGCCATCCGTGCTGTGTGGAATGACGAGGACAGTCTAGGGCCTAGCTGCAGCAAGCGAAGAGTCAACAAGTGCCCTGTTTGCGCTGTCTGTCGTCGTTGGGTCTGGCACTTGTAGCAATCTTCCCTGACGGGAGCAGCTACATGCTACATGAATGCGCAACGAACTTCCAGTGTTGTAGAACCGCTCGAAAAATGAGTAGCTCATGGTGAATGAATCATCTTATAGTGTGAAACATGCAGCGGACAGATGTTGAAGCTGAACGTGCAAATCCGGAAGCACACCCGTACCAAGTGCCTGAATGCCCCTCCCAATCTGAACAGCGGAGTTTGCACGCAGAGAGATGTCTGGCACATGGAGCCAAAAGTCCTAGCGCGACAACTGCCGCTGTCTCCAACTGTTTCGTCAGGATCAATTGGCCGAGGTCTTTCGGCGCGCACTCGCTGGTGGTGGCCTAGCTGGGCTCGGCGAGGTGCAAACTTCAGGGTTTGTCCTTATTCCTCAAGATTGTAGTAACAGGACGGCCCTAATTAGAGAGGGTCTGATCGAGGGCAAGCGTGCGTGGCAAAGTGCAGGAGGTAGACCTGGAAAAGTCAAGCAGTAGGCGGCAGTCCTGTGTTGACGATGTTTTCGATTTTGGAGCGCCGTTGATCGATTCCTGTAGTTATCGAAGCAACTTGTCGACCATGGCAAGGCTTAGCATGACTTAAAGCGCTCCGCACATGCTTTTGGTACAGTGACCAATGCTGCTTGCAGGGCGATGAGCCGCTCGCCTGCACCAGCCCGGGAAGCAATCCGTTCCGCGGGGTGGAGTTCATGTAGCATGGGCCAGTAGCAACCAGGTAAGGTCCCACATACCTATAGTGTGCATTGCTGGCTGCATCTTCCGACCGGAGTCTTTACGGCGAGGCCAGTGCTGATGCCTCTGACCGCTTTCGGCGTGGAGCTTCAGGCGACCCTTAGACGCCCGGTTGAAAGTTGCAAGCTCCGGTTTGTGAGCTTGCCCTAACCCTCCAGGTGCCTACTATATAGGGCCCCAGGGCCTCGAGTACCCTATATAGTAGGTACCTGGGGGTTAGGGCTGAATCTGCTGAAGGTGCACCGGGGGCCGAGGGATGCAGCAAGTCATAGGATTTATGTGTCATCATTGCTGAGTTACGCAGGCTACACACTGTATTCCAGAGAAGTTCTCTCATACTCGGTAGTGCTCGCCCTTCAAGTCTCCAGAAGTAGCAGGCCGAGGGCCAGACTGAATCTGGCGAGATCCATTCAAAATTGAATACTGGCTGACCCGAAGGACGTTGCAATCGCTCAAACCATGCAGAATTGGTGGTTGAAAGCCCGTGGCAAGAGAAAGAGTTGTTGAGAATCGCAAACATGTCGGCTGCATGCTTGGTGCGACTTCCCTGCCACCTTGCAACAGATGCAGGTCTTGGATCACGCCGTGCTGGCAACCTACACACAGACCTTCGCCAATCCAGTTCAGGAGAGTGAGCTCATTGTAAGGTTCTCATACGTTCATGATGGTCTTTATTTTCGGACTGATACAGAGAGTGTGAAGCGTTCGGGGCTCGGTTGTCAGCCTCGGGGCGGCCCGAAAGCCCCTAAATCAATGCAGCACTCCATCCCATACAAGTAGGCCTGTTCATCTAAGGGCATGAATATTTCATCACATGCCAGGAGTGCCTGGAGGTCACCTACTCCTTCCCCGTGCGTCCAAAAGCCTCCGTCGCCGCCATGCGGGCAGAGGTCCGGTCAGTGCCACTGCTTTTGCGTGTAAAACCCTAAACCCCTAAAAACCCCTAAACCCTTAAACCCCTAAACCCTAAACCCTAAACCCTAAATCCCAGCAGGTGGATGGACGCTCAGTTGCCCCTCGGCCTTGGAGTTGAACCGGTTTCAGTGATCTTGGTCATCTGGAAGCTTGACAAGCTAGACTTTAGGGACTTTGGGCTTTAGGGTTTTAGGGTTTTAGGGCTTCAGGGTTTTAGGGTTTTGGGGTTTAGGGTTTTAGGGTTTAGGGTTTAGGGTTTAGGGTTTTAGGGTTTAAGGGTTTAAGGGTTAGGTTCCAGCCGTTACTGTGCCATGCGACTCCGGCAGTCTGCAGAGTCTGCAGCCTTTCCAAGCTCGGGAGTCCGGTCAGTTTACTGTAGCTATAGTCTCCATTGTAGTTCCTTTTTGGGGATACCTTATCAATTCCTTAATATATATAACTGGTTAAACCAAAAAAAGGAACTACAATGGAGACTATTGGTAGCTTCTATTCTTGGGACCGTGTGTAACGAAACCGGATAACGGCCGAATCCTGACGTCATGACACTAAGGTGGGCCGTGTAGTGGAGAAAGCTGCTGCTCGTGATCAGTGCCTTGACTGGAGAAGCTCGATTGCAGACCTACTCACAATGCCCGGCTGCGACCTTGACTTGGACCATTGATACTTGGAGATTCTTGCACACCTGACTTGAGAAATGTGTTGCAGTAAGTGGGAGTGTGAGACGATGCAGCAGCATCATCAGCAGCAGCGTGCAGCCTGAGCCCCCCACCGCACATGGCTGCCGTAAGCGGCAAACTTCGTCAAGGGTTCAGCACTCAAAGCAGCCCTGCCGAGACACAGGTACGAAGAAGCTCGTGCCCAGCGAAAGGCAGAGTCGTCATTGTTCGCCCCCTGCCGCATTCCGAAATGCCAACCCAATCGGACAGTCACGAGTCCATGTCGCAAATCCTCACAGACCTATAGACAGAAACATGCTTGCAGATCTTCCTGCAGAGAGCTGGGAAGCTGTCTCGGCAGCTGCAATTGTTACGAAGGCAGCTGCTCTCCTTGAGAAAGCAACCGGCGACGTGATGAGGCATCTGCTGGTGCATAGATCCGGACTTTACATACAGGAAGATGGCTCCAAATCAAGCAGAGGGTGTGCGGGATCGGACCACGAATTCAAGGCTTGCACGCTTGGATCCTTAGCTCCAGGCAGTTCGCGATTATTAGAGGACGCGTGGAAACCTTGGAAAATCGGCATAAGGATGCACGTGTTGACGTATTGTGCTTTTGAGTGTTACGCGTTTGGTCACGTCAGGGATTGCAGTAGAGTTGCCCAGCACTAGCTGAACCAATGTGACTTCCCGCTGCCAGGCTGAGCATCGGACAGATTTCGCCAGGAAGCCAGGCGCGTCACCGCAAGCTTAGCCTTCTTACTGTAAATCCCTAAACCCTAAACCCCTAAACCCTATAAACCCCGAAACCCTTGAGCTTCTGAGCCTCTGCTCTCATAACGCCGAGGTGGTCGTACAGGTGGAGCTCGTCTGGGAGCTGGCCCATCTCGGAGGCCCGCTTTTGGGAGCCTTCTCGGGTTACGAAAGGCGATGGTAAACCCTAAATTTCCCCTAACCTCCCAGGTGCCTACTTTATTTAGGGTACTAGAGCCCCTAGGGCCCTAAAGAGTAGGTACCTGGGGGGTTAGGGTTCTTCATTGCTCCTTAAAGCTGATCAGGTTTATCAGGTCTGAAGTTGTCGTTCCGGGGTCCAGGCTCCGAGTACTCGAGATTCGCTTGCGGAACCTGCAAGCTGTTTTTAGGAGGATGGGGGGTCCAAGTCGGTTTCGGGTTTAGGGTTTAGGGTCTATGTCTCACTGTTTCTTGAAGCGGTGGAAACTGTGTAGGTTTGTAGGTCGGAGCCTGCTGAATTGATGAGCATGCTGAATTCTGTCTTATTCCCAGTTCATGACGAAGTGCAACCCAGCCTCCCGAGTTGAGCGTGTTAAGCTGAGCTTCTATGCAGGGGTCGAGCACGACACCTGCAAGAACGGAAAATTACATAGAATTACGCAGATGGTGATGGAGTCTTCTTTCCCTCGAGCCATGAACGCAATTCCAAAGAGCACATGGTTCCCTTGCGTTCACTGTCCTCGACTCTGAAGTTTAAGGAAATTGACTGCGTGGAATGCGGGGCCTTACAGCCTTAATGATGGTGGTGAGAATGACGATTATGATGAAAATGATGATGGCGATTATGTTGCTGATGGCTATAGGCTAGAGTGATATATGCAGCTGCTCCTTTAGCTGCTCTCTCGACGGCATTTCAACATCAACTACACGTTTAGCATGACTCTGACGAGAGTGGACATGCTGCCAGTGCCAGTGTTTCGTCGGCCCTTGACCTGATAGTTGCGATTAGCCAGAAGAGCCGTAGCAGACGCTGCTCCTGCTACCACTTCTCCGACAACGACAGCAACTAGAGCCACAACTACAACTGCAACTACTGCTGCTGCTACAAGGGCTACCATAGTCACCACCGTCACCACCAGCACCCCTACCATCACTGGACAGGCGGCAGTCTTCGGCTGGGTGTGCCCATGCTGGTGGGGCCGCGGTATCCTCTCGGCGTAATTGAAATGGAGGACATGATGTTCGGGTCCGCTTCTTTCATTACTTCGATCTTCGGGACTTTGACCCCACCCCCCACAGCCCCAGCAACAAGGGAAAAACACAAATTGGCCTGGTTTTCAATGCCGCAGGCAGACGGTGTGGAACTACCGTTTGGGTTTTGGTACTTGAGCAGCTTTCTAGCTTCGTGCTTAGTGTGCTAAATCAAGAAACAGAGAAATCCGGACCTGCGAATCTGGAGTTCAGGTAGGTGTTTTGTTGCTGCTACGAGAGGTTTGATGAATCTTCTTGCGGTTTGTGTTGGAGGGGTCTTCTCACTCTGGCAGCCATGCGCATCCTGAAGTGTGAAATCCTTATCTCGAAATCATTGGAACTCCGGCCCTCCCAGTCACTTATTATATTATATTATATTACATTATATTATATTATATTATATTATGTTACATTATTGTAACATTGTAAACTGTTGTAACCTCCACGGCTTCGCAATGCCAGCTTGGAGTGGCAAGGTTTTGCGCAACCCACCTTTGCACATAGCCACGCCTTTGCAGCCATCGTTGAACAGGTTTGTTATAACCCTAAACCCTAAACCCTAAACCCTAAACCCTAAACCCTAAACCCTAAACCCTAAACCCTAAACCAAAACCCTAAACCCTAAACTATAAGAAGCCGAAACTGTTGGGTTGCAGCTTGGAGACAGGAGGCCATAGCTCTGGACGAGGCTGGACAAGGCAACTCGGGATGAAGAGCCTCGAACATGGGAATTTCCGAAAATTGGGGGGTACCTTATTTTGGGGTCCTTTTTTTATAGGGATCCTATTATTTAGGGTACTATATTAGGGTCCCCTATTTTCGGAAACCCCCACATGGGTCAAAGCTTGTTTCAGTGTGACAGAAGCACAGCAGCTGACAAGGGCAAGGCTCCAAGTCATACAAATTTACGGAAGCATCAGCCTTCATTCCGAGTGCGTTGTTTTGCTTCGTGCGACAAGACAGGTTAGCATAGTTTATGGTGTTCGCCGTTTGCTCGTACAAGGAGGCAATGAAGATTGAGAAGGACCTGGCGTATATGTTTGGGAGTTCTGGGCAGGGCACCCGTTGCTGGTGGCGATACTAAAGAAAGTGATAGCGACCGGAGACAAACGAGCTCTTGTCCTTGTCATAGTGTCTCGTCAGGGCTTGGTTATGATTCGTGCACACTGTCAGACACAGTATGTTGTGTCTCAGGACCTGGGACAGCTCCATTCTGGCTTCATGCGCAGGCTCGATGCCATGTATTTTTTATATTGCGTGACATGATGCAGGTGGAAGCAGTCTACCTATTCAAGTTGCTCTTCCCATGATCTATCACCCACCCGCCCAAGCAGCCAAAAACTCGCATGCATCGCACGCATATATATATATATATACACACGTAAGTACACACAAAGAAAAGATGCATGCACACAAAACAGCACACCTCAACCTCGCTAGCAAAAGAGGTTCTTAACCTCGATTGTCGTCGGAGGATTATTCATGAAAGTTCAAAACACAAGCCGTACACCGCAAGCCAACAACTGAGTCCTGAATCTGTCAGTTCTCATCACGACCGCGGCTGCTACCCGCCTGCTCCTGCTGCTGTTCTCATCCTCCTCGTCCTCCTGCTCCTCCTGCTACTACTGCTGGTGCTACTCTAATACTACTACTACTACTACTACTACTACTACTACTACTGCTACTGCTACTGCTACTGCTACTGCTACTGCTACTACTACTAGTACTACTACTACTACTACTACTACTACTACGACGACGACGCCTAC